GGTTTGAAATCCCCTAGAGCCATACATAACAACAGAAATGGATTTTCATACCTAACAAATCTTAAATATATGATAGGATATCAGTCCCTTTCCCCATTAAATAGATTGTATTTTACTATGGTGGTTTTTTGTCTACAACAACAACAACAAACCCAGTGTTTCTCGTAAGAACATTAAAGAGATAAAAAGAATCCTAAACTCACCTATGCAATTCTTTGACCATTGAGTGAAAGGACTTTGCCCCAAGGAGGGGAGATGAGCTTCTTTTGTTATAGTGGTGCCTCAGTTCATGAACTTAATTCTTTTCACAATTCTGGCCACAAACTGAATCGGTTGCAAACCAAATCAATTTCAGTGGCTAGGTTTAATGTTGACCTTATAGGGAAATTGGGTTCAGTTTGTAGCCAATTTGATTTGTGGCCAGAAACATGGAAAGATTTAAGTTTGTGAACTGAGGTACCACTGTACTCTGCTGTTGAGTAGTAGAGTTGAAACTAGATCTTAGGCTATTGGATTTCTAGTTCATCTTGTATTCTTTACTATTGTTGTTATTATTTTAATTCTCTTCCCCTTTTATCATCTACATCTCCTATGTACTTAGATAGTGATACATGTTAGATACTGGTGGTATCTGATCATTTTCTCTTTGGAAAATTTTTTCTCCTTTTTTTTTTTTTTTTTTTTTTTTTGGTACCTGGGATTGAACTCAGGACCTTGCACTTGCAAGGCAGGCAGCAGAACCACTGAGCTAAATCCCTGGAAAATTTTTTTTAATTCTGGTTTTTGTTTCTGGGCTTAGCCTAGGCATTCATCGACCATCATCATCATCATCATCTAATCAACTGATGCCTAAGATCCTGCTTAGCGCTCAGCCTTTGATTCTTTGCAGTTTGTTTCCTATTCTGCAGATAGATAGATAGATAGATAGATGTCCTTCCCCCCCCCATATTAGGAATTGAACTCAGAACCTTATACTTGCGTGGCAGGCATAGTGCCACTGAGCTACATCCCTGACCCAAATAGATATTCTTTAAACAGTGTTTTGATCATGTTCTTTTCTACTTTAAGAACTTGAGAGGCTTCTTCTTAATGTATACAATAAAAATTCTCAGTTTGATTTTCCAAGGATCTTTTCACATGATTGTGGCTTACTTATTTAATCTCATGTCTAGATACTGTCCAGATCTGACCAGGTGTTACAAATTTTCAGCTTCTACATACAACTTTTGGATTGGTGATATTATGTGTTTTTTATGCTGAAAATCTCTAGCACTACCCCCCCTTTTTTTTTTGGTGCTGGGAATCAAACTCAGGACCTTGTACTTGGGAGACAGGCATCAGAACCACTGAGCTAAATCCCTGGCAGCAGCCTTTTCTTTATGTTGTCAGTGATGAATATTTCTTCTAGAAATATATGTTTTAATCATGTACATTTTTGCTGTAGCCAACAGCAATTTTATTTATGTGAATGCACATGTGGATTTGGAAATGTTAATTTAAAATGAACCAGAAGTTGTCAGAAAGTTGCTGGATTATATTAAGGTACATGCAAGAAAATAAGATGATTTCTGGGATTGGGAAAAGTTGTAAGCATTGAATTACTGAAGCTCAAGTCATAGAGAATAGAAAAAAAGCAACCATTTTCCTACTCTGTCCATAAGGGCAAGATTTAGCCTCAACTTTAAAACCAGACCTGGGTTGGATGAAGGAGGTTAGGAGTAAGATTTGCTTTAGAGGTTATAAGCATAGGTCCCAAGGAAGAGTCAGTAACCTGCTCGGTGATATTCGGAGACAGCTTTGACTTGAATGCAAACAATAAAGGGCACGGTTTCTTAGTAAATTAAGGGATTGAGAAGTATACATAAATGCTGGGAGCCAGTATATATGTATATTTTGTACCCAGACATTTTTCATGTGAAAGTAAAATAGTTAAGAGATATTTTTGTCATAATAGCTGAATCTTGGAAGTAGCCTGTATGCCCATCAATAAATAAATGGATAAAGAAAATGTAATATTTATACACAGTGGAGCACTTCTTGACTTGAGTCATTTGTAGGAAAATGGATGCACCTTTAAATCATAATGTTAAGTGAAATAAATCAGACACACAAACTTAAATATTGCATGGTTTCTCTTATGTGAGAAACCCAAAGTATAAATAAAGACCAAAATAAAAGATAATAGGAAAAAGGGAGATAGATCTTTCTCTAAGGACAGAAGGGAATCAAGAGATGGATGGAGGGGCCAGAGATTTAGCTTAAGTGGTGCCGCCCTCACACTCACAAGGTCCTAAGTTCTATCCCCAGTACAAAAGGGGGGTGGAGAAAGAGAGAGAGAAAGAAAGAAAGAGAAAGAGATGGATGATGGAGGGCCAGGAATTTAGCTCAGTGGCACCATGCCTGCCTCACAGGCCCAATGTCCTGAGTTCGATCCCCAGTTCCCACAGAAGGGGTGGGGAGAAGGGGAATGTTAAAAAGGATTAAGATATAGTATATACATGTACCAGTTCCACATGAAGGATATAAACATGTACAGCAAACATTTACAAAAGGGAAAAAAGAAAGCAATGAAGAGATGGATGGGGGGGGAAGGAAAGGAAGAGACAGGGGAAGAGCAAAGGAATTAAGATGTATGGTGTACATGCACCAGCTTCCCACAAGGACTATAAACATTAGGTACTACAAACATATACTAGTAAAAATATTAAAACGAAAGATATTTTTGGCACCTTTAGTGTAACAATTCCTATGTGTTTACAGAAAGGCAAAACATTGGCCTTGACAAAAGTTCAAAGCCAAATGCAGAAGGCAAACACATATAAACAAATACATTGCCACAGGAAGATATACACTAAGTACAAGGTAATTTAAGTTAGGAAAATGTACTACTGGTATGTTATGAGAAAAGTAAAGAGGGAAGACATGGATACTTTGTATAATGTCATTGAATCATCCCTATAAAATGCTTGTGGAACCAGAAAGAATGCTCCTCCTTCTTAAGTCTTACTAGGGATGGGAGGGTGGAAAACTATACTGTGCCCTCAGGACTGTCATTGTCTAGACGCAGCAATGGTGAGCCTTTTAGAGGTTTCGGTGATACAAGAAGCCTGCTGTGGCACATATGCCGTACGTTCACCACCACTGGTAGAGAAAACGATCATTTCTCATTGATTCCCTGGGTGGAAGCACCCAAGATGATCCAGAGGCTTTTGGGGTGCTTCTGACATGTCTGTCACTTGATCAAAATTTTACACTATTCTGAGGCATAAGACCAAATAAAATCCTTTGACTAATCTAGTCTCAGTATAGTCTTTCATTTAATTTTCTATCAGTTATAATATTTTATGTCTTTTTAAGATACCTTTTAATGAATATATCATTCAAAAAAGAAATATATCATTTTAGAAATGTTTCAGGTATATTTTGCCTAATAATAATGAAAAAATTTTTGACCTTGTAAATCTCACACAGAATGACAACTTGCCAGTAATTCTCTTGGGTGTTGAATTGGTCATTTTTTTCCGTGGCATCAAACAACCCCTATATCCTTGTGGCTTATGATACCAGGTGTCCTCACTTTTCTCTGCAGTTCATCTGTACTCGCTTGACCTGCTAGGCCTGACACCAGTTTGTTGCATGCTGAGATCTCATCATGGAATCCAGGTTGAAGGATCAGGATCTTCTTGGCACATAATCATCTCTTAGGAACCTAAAAACGTGAACATCAACACCACTCAGCAGTACTTCGTGCCATGGTCCACAAGTCAAAGCAAAGCACATGGCAAAACACACACTAAAAGTTAAAAGTCAGAAAGTAGTATTTACCTGTAGGACGAGGGATGGAAGAGGGGATGTTTATTGAACAATAAAATGAAGGAATGCAAGTTTTTTTTATGGTGAAAAGAATGTTTTAGAATTAACCAGCTTGATAGCCAGATGTGGTAATGTACATCTGTAATCCCAGCACTCAAGAGGCTGAAGAAGGAGGATTATGAGTTACTGGCCAGTCTGGGCTGCATACATACTGAGTTCAAGGCCAGCCTGAGCTGCATGGTGAGACACTGGGTCCCTTTCCTTCAAAAAACCCATCTGGAGTCAGCGTAGGTGATTTGGCAATATCTGAAAGTGTAAATAAGGACCAAAATGAATAATAGATATTGTGAAATAGGAAGAAATTGTTCAAAATAATCTAAGTATCAGATGCATTATTAATAATTAAAATGTTTTATGTAAAAAGAAGGTATATGGGAGGCTGAGACAGGAGGATTGCTGCGAGTTTGAGGCCAACCTGGGCTACCTAGTGAGTTCAAGGCCAGCCTGAACTACATAGTGAGACTGTCTCAAAAAAATGATAATTTTATAGAAGTGTTTTATATTTTCTTTATTAATATCACTTGTATTACATTAAAATTAAAAACACATAATTAGGAGCCAGTTGAATATGTGTATCTCCCCATGGTGGCTTTTCTTGGTACCTGTAAGATTGCCTTCCCATCAAATTCTGTTGGCATGAACTCTTCCAGTTCAACTTGGGCCAGCATCACAGAGAGTGACTTTCTAGTGATTTCTGCTGGTATACATTTCTCAAGCTGCCATGGTGTGCCCTTGACACAAGATCTGGATCTGAGCCCTGGTAAAAGTCGCCATTTTTCAGATGTGGCTCCTTCTTGGTGGTCCGTGTCAACCCTAGGAGAAGTGGCAGCTTCTTCTATTTGCTATCTCTACTTCTGTGTGGTTAATCTCCAGCTGTAATTAGTAATGTTTCATATTAAACTTTCCTGTTGAAATTGTCATGTGATTTGTCTTTTAATTTTTCTTTGATATATACCAGTACATTTCTATAGTGTTCTAAGGATTAAACAGAATAATGCATACAAAGTGTTTAGAATAGTGCTGCCATCAAGTGAGTACTTACTCAGTGTTTATTGGTGATGTTGATAGCATTGTCACTGCCACCACAGCCACTAGCTATGAGTGACGTTTCTCCTTTTTGTCCACAGGATGTTTCGTCTTAACTCATTTTCTGCCTTGGCAGAACTGGCTGTGGGGTCTCACTGGTACCATGCAGCGTCACAGCCTACTCAGACCAGGCGAAGACTAATGGTGGTGGCTTTCCTGGGAGCGTCTGCAGTGACAGCAAGTACTGGTCTGTTGTGGAAGAGGTGAGTTTTATCTGGTCATCTTCTACATGTCTCCTCCTCTTCCTCTTTTTCCTTTCTTCCTCCTCCTCCGCCTTCTTCCTTCTTTTCCTCTTCCTGTTCCTGTGCATCCCCAGTGCATTTAAAGACAGGATCTCACTAAGTTGCTCAGGCTGGGTTCGAGCTTGGAATCCTCCTACCTTAGCCTCTCAGAATGCTAGCATTACAGTCACTGTGCCTGGTATTATGAAAAAGGAGTTGATTTTGGGCTCACTTTGTGTCAAAATTCCTTTCTATATCATTTGGCATTGACAATATTGGTCTATGAAATGTTTAATTCCAAGGCAGTAGATAGGAAACAGTGCTTCAAGGTCTTTCAATCTCTTCCAAACACTTTTCATAATGATATAGAAATGTCAGTAGTCATTTTAGAAAAATTGATATTTTCTGAGTCTTGAAAAATCTGGTCAGCATATGAAATTAACTGATGAACCTTAGTACTCTTGGGCCACTCATAATTTCCTTGCTAGTTGCTGAACCTTCCCTGGAGGGAAAAGAGAAAACAATTATCCACAGTCTTCTTTCTTAAAATATTGACACAGGTACTATTTTTCTGACTTTTCCACTCTGGTTTTTATCTTTCACTTGATTCTACCTGTCTTGTTAAAGTTGCAGTCATTATGTTTGGCTTCCTCACAAATGATTTCATTTTTTCTTTTTCATCAGTTCTACTGAAGAATAATTTGTGTATATCAAAGTTAACCCATTTCAAATATATAGTTCAGCAATTTTTGACAAATATATATAATTGTACAACCACCCCTCAAATGTTTAAGATACAGAACAAGACATGCATGGTAGTGAACACCTGTAACCCCAGCACTTGTTGAGGAGGAATTAATTTCTTTTCTAAAATTATTTTTTAAAAAGATCTTATATAATTTAATTAGATCAACATATTTGATATAAGGGTCTAATACAGAAGTAATAAAACTCTTTTCTCCATCCTCAATTCCTTCCTTAACAAAAGACAAGTATTTAGTAATGTTATTATAGACAGTTTTCAGATATACAGGTGAATAACGAAGTACTTGATTTGGAATATTTACAGACAACAAATGAATATTTTCATAGACAGGTAATGTGTAGAAGTCCAGATATATGATCTGTTTTTAGGTCTCTGATATTAATTAGCATAGATATTATTCTTGGAAACCATATTGGAGTATGGTCAATGAAGCAGTGCTAAGTGTACGGCGGTAATCTTCTGTAGTTCACCCTGCCAAGTTTCTGTCCACTATCACTCTTCCTTACTCTGAGGTACTTTCTTTAATATTTCTAGAAGTTTTAATCTGCTGGCAGTAGATTCTGTCAGCTTTTGTCTGGAAAAAAAATTCACCTTCACTTTGTGTGTGTTTGTGTGTGTGTGTATCTGTTTGTGTGTCTGTGTGCGCTTTACTAGGAATTGCACTCAGGGCCTCACATATGCTAGGCATACACTCTACCACTGAGCTACCAATTATTTGGTGACAAAATCCCACTAAGTTGCCAAAGCTGGCCTGGAACTTCAATCCTCCTGCCTCAGCTTTCTGAGTAACTGGGCTTGCACCATCATACCCAATTTGCTTTCACTTTTGCAGGATATTTTTATTAGATATTGAATTCTAGGTTGACAATTTTCTTGTTGGAATTTGAAGAATATCATTCAATTCTCTTTAGCTTTCCTTCTTTCACTTTAGTATTTTCATTATATTCAAGTTGTATACATTTTTTCATTGTAGTAAAATGGACATAACATAAAACCATTTTAACAATGTTTAAGTTCAGTGGCATTAGATACATTCATACTATTGTGGATCGATCATCATATAGTTGTCATCCATCTCCTGTATTTTCTGGTGTCATCTAAAATAAGACAATGTACTCACTAAACAGTAATTCCTCTTTCTCTTCTCCCTCCATTCAGTTATTCTTTCTGTCTCTGTAAATCTGACCTAGCTACGTGTGTAAGTGGAACTGTGGAATATTTGTTCTTTTCTGCCTATTTTTTTCCGGTACCAGAGATCAAATTCAGGACCTTGTGCTTGCGAAGCAGGCATGTTGCCACTGAGCTAAATCCAGCCCTATTTCTGCCTGTTCTAATTAACATAACGCTTTCAAGATTTATCCTTGTAGTGTGTGACAGGACTCCCTTCTTTTTCAAGGCCAAATCATACTGCATTTATGTATGTGTCACATTTTATTTATCCATCAACACTTGATGCACAAATAACTTTTTAAAACATTAAGTTTCTTGGATCTGTAAATTTATAGCTGTCATGAAATTTGAAACTGCTTTGTCCATTTTTTCATTAAATCTTTGTGTACCCCCATGCTCAAACTTGAACTACATTCCCTCACATACTAGACTATCTGATATTGTTCCACAGGTTGCTAAGGTTTCATTTATATTTTGTTCATGCTTTTTCCTCTCTGTGCACCAGCTTTGTTAGTTTTTATTGCACTGACTTCAAGGTCACTGCCCCTGCCCCAGCAATCTCTTACCTTAAGCCTATCCAGCAACCCGTCCCACTCTTCACATGCAAGAAAATAGCCCCTACTCCAGCTTTGTTAGTTTTTATTGCACTGACTTCAAGGTCACTGCCCCTGCCCCAGCAATCTCTTAACCTTAAGCCTATCCAGCAACCCCTCCCACTCTTCACATGCAAGAAAATAGCCCCTAGTGCGGGTGATTTCCCTTAATGCTGAGCTGTACCCACTTAAGGGAATAGTTGATACAGGTAAAGTGAAATTTTTCTTAACTTTTTCAATGCAGGTGCTCTCAGGTTTATTCTTTCATAAGGCAGTGCAACTTGTTGTTACCTGGGTTCTGGAATTCCTGTAAAAGTACTTGTTCTTGTATCTCCATTAAACCATTGTTTCTGTGGGGGAACAAAAGCTGCAACCTCTAGCCTACTGCACTGCCAAAGACTAATAATATTTTATTGGATATTTTATACTCTGAATGTTAACATTGCTGAGTGTGTGAATTTTTATATTCTTCTTTACAAGTATTGATTTTTCTTTAGTTAGGCAGATGAGGAACAAACCTGATTATTTATTGATCTACCAAAACTTGCATTAAGAGTACCCTTTAGGGCTGGGGATTTAGCTCAGTGGTTCCGCTGCCTGCCTCACAAGTGCAAGGACCTGAGTTCAATCCCTGGTACCCCCCAAAAAAAGCCGGGTGTGATGGCACACACCTATAATTCCAGCACTTGGGAGGCTGAGGCAGCAGGATCCAGACCAGCCTGGGCTACACAGTGAGTTCCTGGTCATTCTCAACTACATAATGAGACCCTGGGCCGGGGATTTAGCTCCCGGTTCAGTGGCCTGCTTTGAAAGCACAAGGACCCGAGTTCATTCCCCAGTACCAAAAAAAAAAACAAAACATAGTGAGACCCTGTCTCACACACACACACACACACACACACACACACACAAAAGACTACCTTTTGTTCTAGGGCTTAAAAAATTTAGCTCCGCTACCATGGCTTACTACATACCATGGGCATTCTGGAAGGTTGCTGTATTCTTGTCAGAACTAGAACACTTGTAACTTCTGGAATTTTTTTATTTCATTCTAAGGATGCACTGCTTAATCTTAAGTCACGAATCAAGGGCACTCCATACAGATTTTTGGTACTCGTTTTCTGTGTGACTTCTCAAACCTTCTGCCTTAGGAATTCCAGGCAACTCAGTTTCTCCAAACTTTGATTGCTATTACCTCATCTTAGCAAGATCATGGTATTTTTCCTTGAGTTCTTATTAATAGTCTGGAAAATGTCTCCAGGCAGAAATTTTAGGGACTTAGAGCCTTCACTTTTCTCAGAATTGCTTTCTATTGTGTTGTGTCTGAAAATGATTATTTTGTATATTTTTTCTGTATTTTTTCCACTGTAGCAAGTCTAACCCACTGTAAGTTATTCCGCTGTGGCAAGAAGCAAATCTTCTTTTCGTACATTATCACATTTCATCAGTTGTGATACTTAATATTTTATTATTATAGCAGTGGCTTCAACTATCAGGAATAATTTTTAGAGGAAAAAGACATAAGCAGGCAGCTAGTGTGGAAAGAGTTGAATGAGCATTCAGAATATCTTGGACAGTATAAGATTTTTCAGGGCTAGGGATTTAACTCAGTGGTTCTGCTGCCTGCCTCGCAAGTGCAAGGTCCTTAGTTTGACCCCTGATACAAAAAAAAAAATGTAAGTTTCTCGGAGAGATTGTGAAGGCTGGTTAATTAATTGAATTGATTGAAAGCAATGTGGTTAAAGGGAGGGCAGGGACAAGGGGAAAAAATGAGAACAAGACCTGTCATGTAGAGGTAGAAGATCCTAACAATGAATGTAACTGTACTGTATCCCTTAAATGTACCAATAAACTCAATTTTTTAAAAAAGCAATGTTTTTATACCAGATGATTTTGAATTAATGTAACTTTTCTTTTGTAGAGCTTTTAAATCTTTTAGAAGATAACTCATACATTCTGCTTTCCAGAAAGTTTTTCCGGACCTCTGTTTTGTCTTTACTTGTTTGTTCCTTCCTCCCTTCCTTCCTTCCTTCCTTCCTTCCTTCCTTTCTTTCTTTCTTTCTTGGTTTTTTGAGACAGGGTCTCACTATGTAGTTGAGACGGACCTGGAACTCACTCACTATATAGCCCAGGCTGATCTCAAACTCACAGCGATCCTCCTGCCTCATCCTCTAAGTGCTGGAATTACAGGCATGTGCCACCACACCCAGCTCTACTTGTTCCTTTATGTTTTTTTTCTGACTGTGAATTTGAGGATTGAGAAGATCTTACTCATATTTTAACTTTAGAACTAATGTGGCTATTACAGCTCTTGAAGGTTGGATTGAATGAAAGCCGTCTCTTACCTTGTGATAAGTGGCTTGGATCTCCACTTTAGCATCCATGAAAGCTTAGTTACAGGAGGCTCTTTAGAAGGAAGTAAAGCAGTGATCTGGTCCGGTGCATCCCTTGGTCAAGTTGAAAAGAAATTCAACTAATATCTTAAGATTGCTTTTGAACCATATTTGAAAGAAGCTTAAGTCAATGTGATATTTCCTGTTGATTTTTAAATATGTGTTTCATTTTAGGCTTTATTCATTTTAAAAATCAAAGATTGCTTTTACTTATAAATTCAAATAGTTATTTGCCTTTTTAGTGTTTAGAAAATATTACTTGCAAATAAAATAAAAACTGTTGATTGAAGTCTTCTCTGAAGAGTCATGTGAAACAAATATTAACAAATGTTAAGAATTTTTTCGTACTACAGAACTTTAATCCCAGTATACTTTTTTCCACCTCCCCTTCTGGTCAGCATAGTTAACTTCTATTGATGTTCCTTAATTGTTATGGAAGGAAGCAGTAAGTGACACAGAGAGGCAGCAGAATGGACGTAAAATAACAAATTTACTTATCGATAAGGATCGATCACACATAAGCCGTGCCTGGGTTGATGACGCACTGTGTTACAACTCCTCCTTTCATGGGGTTTCATAGGCTTGACTTCATTTGGGTGGTTACATTTTATTCTCACAGTTCAAATCACAGTCACAGAATAGTTTATCTTTTCAACCCAGATGTAACAGTTCTTTGCAGTTGGGGAGTTTACCTTTAAGATTCACCTAGTTATCTATGCTAGCCCATAGGAAGTGGGTATTCAGGGTCAGGGGAGCAAATGTTAGCAATGGGTTCTTTCATCCAGACACTCTTATGATCATGTGGCTCCAGTCTCTTCAGAGCTCAAGGTCTTGATGTGCCCTGTTGTCTCAGGGTCAGACCAAATGCCTCATTTGGCAGTTAGTGCCATCGGTGCCGATTAGTTCTGAGCAAAACCAACAGCTGTTAGAGACAGCAGAAGCCACTTTATATTGTAACACATTATAGATTTTTGCTGTTTATAAAAGTTTTCCCTATCATAATAAGCCCCCCATTCATGCTTTCTTTGTGTAAGGAACTGGGTGACTAAAAGAAAAATATATATATTATCTAGTCTTCTTTTAATGATGTATTAGGGTAAACCATATGATACTGCTGATACTTGACAAATTTTTATTTGTAAACAACAGTATTACTGGGGCCAGGAATTTAGTTCAGTGGTTGTGCTGCCTGCCTTGCAAGTACAAGGTCCTGTGTTTGATCCCTGGTACCAAGAAAACCAAAACAACAGTGTTACTCCATTCCATCTAATAGTTGAAGAGCAAGATAGATTCGGGAACATATTAGGTAACCATACATAACACTAAATTATATGTTGTAGTTCAAACATTAAATGATGTAGGCGTTTGAAGGAATAAAAGCAGAACTTTGGCCCACGATGTTTAGAAATCTTTGTAGAATAGATTGCCAGTTATAATCTCTAATCAGCCAGAAAGGTTCCTACTGAACATTTAGTTTTTTCTTGCTGTCAATAATGAATGAACTTGGAAAAACTAGAAGATCAGTTTGTCTTCATGTAGAATTTGTATATGTGATTGTGTAAGTTTTTATTTGACTACTTGTGTTTTATTCTTTTGGGCCCTCATTTCTTCATGCACTTTATTGTAGTAGGAAACACATAACATAGAACTTACCTTCTTAGCCATTATATACTTCCATCGTGTTAAATATAGTCACACGGTTGTAAAACAGCTTGACAGAACTTCATCTTGCAAAAATGACCTGCTGTATAAAGCAACTTCTCAGGCCGGGGATTTAGCTCAGTGGTTCCCCTGCCTGCCTCAGTGCAAGGTCCCAAGTTCGATCCCTGGTACTCCCCCGCAAAAAAGGTAACTTCTCTATTCCCCTCTCTATTCACCTCCATAACTTGTTCATCTTTCCAAACTAGAATTCCTTAGCTATTAAACAGTGACTCCTCACTTCTTGACTCCTGGGCCCCTGGGCCCCTGGCAACTACCATTCTACTCTCTGTTTCTGTGAGTTAAACTACTCCAGGTACCTCATATAAGTGAAATCATGTATAGTAGTTTGTCTTTTTGTAACTGGCTTATTTCACTTGGCTTACCATCCTCAGTATTCATCTTTGTAGCATTTAACAAGATTTCCTTCATTTTCAAGGCCAATATTTTGTTATATGTATATGCCACATTTTGTTTATCCAGTGATCCACTAAAAGATGCTTGGGTTACTGCCATGTTTTAGCTGTTGTGAATGGTGCTGCAAATACTTCTTAACCTACTGTCACGGATTTAGCTCAGTGGTTCTGCCACCTGCCTCATAAGCACAAGGACCTGCGTTCAATCCCCGGTAACAAAAACCCAAAAAACAACAACAACAATAAAAAACCTACTTTCAGTTCTTTGAGATATCACCAGAAATGGGATTGCTAGATCATATGGTACTTCTATTTTTAGTTTTCTGAGGAATTTCTTTATGTAGAATTACTGACAGATTTCATTTCTGTTGTTCCTGCTAACCTGTATCTATGAATTTTTTAATATGAACTTTCATGACTAACCTAGATTTCTCTTTTGCATATCTAGGGCTCATGCAGAATCTCCACCATGTGTAAACAACTTAAAAACTGACATTGGTGTTAAAGGGAAGAATAAAGATGAAGGGGAAGTTTGTAACCATGAAAAAAAGGCTGCAGATACTGGTCTTGATTCTTATTCAGAAGAAAAGAAGAAGAAACGTTCTGGATTCAGAGACAGAAAAGTATGAAACAAAATCTTGTAAATTAATCAAAACTATATCCTAAAGTAGAATAATGCAGTTCAGTTTTTTATTATATATTTTAGACAGTTCGTATTCATTTCTAAATTATTTATCTCTTTGCCTTTTCCATCATGTTGAAAGCCGAAGTACTCCTTTTTTAAATTTTATTATTATTATTATTACTTTTTTTTTGGGGGGGGGTATGGGTTATTGAACTCTGGTCCTTGTGCTTGCAAGGCAGGTGGCAGAGCCTCTGAGCTAAATCCCCAGCCCTCAAAGGTACTCTTGAATATGAAGGGTGGTTAACAGATGTAGTGTTGGTAACAAGGATCATCGTATTCTTTCTTAGTTCCACTGCCTATAGCAATTCTTGCTTTCTAGGTTTTCTCAACACTTAACATTGTCTTTGTAGTAATTTTGATATATAATATCAGATTGTAAATGGAGAATAAAATCTCCTTGGGAACATTATTTCCAGAAAATTAAGTAATTTTGAGAATAGAATAAACTTCAAATGACTGTCCTATTTCATGTAATTAATGTAACCTACTGGCATGCAGCTTTACTTCAGAAAAGTTTCACTTCCACTATAATAATACCTATTTCTTAGGCATTTGAATTCAGCAGACATAAGTGATAAATAAGCAAAAGAATAAATTTCTTACATATTCGCTTGTTTAGACTGAAATTCAGGGAATTGCCTTTATCTTCTAAACTGTACCCTAATATTTCAACAAGTTGATTTAAATTATTTCTTTATGTGTTACATTGTATTCATTTGCAGGAGCTCCTCTGGGACATTTAGATCTTCTTTCTGATTGTACATTTAGATGAAGTTATTTATATATCTTATTCCTAAGTCCACTTCTGGTGGAAGTGAATTGAACTAGTTATGTATCACAAGTAAATCAAGTGTCTTAGCTTTTTTCTATAGACATTTATTTATTCTATGGCCCTAAGTGAATTCAAAGAAAGCTCAACTTTACCTTGTGTTAGCAGTTTCATTTACATACTTTCCATTTTATAAAGTAGAGTTAAAATGACTAAATTAACATTTATTTTTTTAACCTGCTTATATATTCTTCTCCTGGTTTCCCTTAGCAGATGACCAGTCTCATGCTTCACAGAAAAAAATGAAATTATCAGGGCAGTTTACTTAATTTCTAAACCCCAAAGCTATAAAACCTGCTTAATCTATCTGAAATAATTTTTATTGCACTCACTAAAGTCTCAGGGGAAGAGCTATCTTTTCTCTGTTCAGTCATAATCATTCCACATGTCATTGCTCAAGAATCTATTTTATCATCTACTCTGTCTCTCTTTTATGTTTTCATTTATTCTTTGTCTTTTCATTGTCCTATATAGTCTGTATAAATATGTTAAGGATTCTTCTATCTGTAATTCCTTTAAAAAATTTACTAGTGCCCATCAATATTACATAATGGTAGCATTTGTTTTTGGAAGTTGGTACCTGCATTTAACATGCAATAATTAATATCTTAATCAATTTCAATTTGTTATCTCCATCTTCATTTCTTTTCCCTCCCCTCATCCACTTCACTGTTTCCAGAAGCCCACCTCCTGGTTTCCTGTCAGTTTTAGTTTATGTGTGTATGTATATATATGTATGTGTATGTGTATGTACGTACTTTCTAGGTTTTTCACATATTTAACTTTCTGAATCTGGCTGATTTCACTTAACATAGTTTCTAGTTCCATCTCTTTTCCTGCCAATAAAACAATTTTCATTGTTGTCACTCAACAGTTTCAATGCTTCTGGTTTTATATCTAGGTCTTGATCCATTCTGATTTGATTTTAGTACAGGGTGAGAATTAGGGATCTAGTTTAAGTGTTCTGTGAGTAGATGTCCAGTTTTCCCAGCACCATTTGTTTATGAAACTATCTTTTCTCCAGCATGCTTTTGGTCCCTTTGTCAAAAATGAGATGTCTATAGGTGCTTGGGCTTGTTTCTGTCTTCTATTCTGTTGGTCTACATTTCTATTTTTGTGCTAATAACTTATTTTTTTATTTCTATGGCTTTGTAATATAGCTTGAAGTTTGTCTAAGCATTGCCTTTTTTGTTTATGGCTGTTTGGGCTATTCTGGATCTTCTCTGATTCCAACTGAGATTCAAGATTGCTTTTTCTCTCACAAGTACAAGGTCCTGAGTTCGATCCCTGATACCTGTCCCCAAATTGCTTTTTCTAGTTCTGTGGAAATTTTCAAAGTTACATCTAGTATCCTAAATAATAAGTTCAAGAGTTTGATCCTTTTTTTTTTTTTTTAAAAAAACTGCACCTCTCAGAACTCTCTACATATGTGTTTTGGGATGAATTAAAACATCCTTATTTCTTAGACAGTTGACATCTTACTATTTAGTTCTTTCTTATTTAGCCAAATTCTTGTCTGTAGCTTTATCCATGATTCTGCTTCTATTATTCAGTATTACATAGAATGTCTGAATTTAAAAAATTTTGTTTTACTCTATAGTAAAGCATAGTTCCAGGAAACCATAAAATAATTTTAATTTTTAAAAATACTATTTTAATTGGTATGTTTGTGATACATAATAATTATATTTACTTTGAGAAATTGGTACATACATATATTGTACCATTTTCTTTTTTTGTTTTTTTTCCATTTTTTTTCTTTTACTGAGTTTATTGGTACATTTTAGTTATACAGTACAATTATGTTCATTATTGGGATCTTGTACCTTTACATGACAGGTCTTGGTTCTCATTTTTTCCCCTTGTCTCTGCCCTCCCTTCACCCCCTCCTCCCCTCCCCATTTTGTACCATTTTCAATACTCTTCTTCTCCTCCCTTCCTACCTTTCTCCCACCTTCCTTTGATTCCTTTCCCCATCTGTAAGAAGTCTATCTTCCTGTTCCCTACTATCTCTTTTATTTAATACTTTTAATTTATTTACATATTGGATTTCTCATAAAAGATAAACCATCTGATAATGTTTTATGCCTGACTTCTCTTAATATCATGGTTTCAAGGTCCATCCATTTTTCTTCAAATTATTCAAATTTATCTTTCTTTATGGCTAAATAATATCCCATACTGCATTTTAATAGTAATCATTTCCTTTTTTGGAGGTTTTAAAAATTATTTTTATGTATATAAAACTCAATATATATTCCCACTGTATTGTTTTGTTTTATTTTTGGTAGCGGGGCTTGAACTCAGGTCCTTGTGCTTGTGAAGCAGGTGCCAGAACCACAGAGCTAAATCCCCAGCCCCTATTTAACCCAACATAATAGTCAATTCTTTAGTCTTTTTCAGCTTGGCAATGCGAGGCTTGGATTTTGGGCTCAGGACATTGCCTCCCCAGTGACCAGCAGAGCTCATCGTATTTCTTTTAACTGATACTGACAGCTTCCACCAGCTAAGCCACTGGGCTCAGAGTTAACCTGGACAAAGGCAGTGGTAATACTGATCTTCCTGTGGACCAGCCATTCCAGCCTGGCCTTCCTTTTGATGACTCATTGGGGAACCCCCACTTAAGTGGCACAGAGGAGGCAGGAAGACAGCCAGGTGAAGAGGATCTTTATGGCTTGTATCTAGATATCCCCCCAAAACCTCATGAGGTCATAAGTGAGGCTTTTCGAAGTTGGTTAGATCTCTGGAGTGTGTGATGCTGAAATTGATTCATGGTGCAATGCTAGACTCAAGGCCACTAGGGTTAAGGGTGTGAGTGCTATGTAGCCTGGATAAGATAAAAGTGGGCCTCTGTTTTTGCTTTTGCTACCTTCTGCATGCCATGAACTGTTTCTCCTCTTCAGTGCCACCCTGCCTTGGAGCCAGCCGATTATGGACTAAAACCTCTATAAACTGTGAGCTAAATAAACTTTTCCTCCTTTAACTATGGGTTTCGAGTATTTTGTTTCACCAAGGAGAAAAGTAACTAAGACAAGGATCCATGTCATACAGTCTCCCTTAGCTGAGCCTTCTTGTTCTTCACCAGGGTCATGATAGTAGGAACCCTGTTCAAAGGATGCGTGATCTCGCAGTGGTAACATTCTTTGCTGGCAGTTTTCTTCTCAGTCCAGGCCAACAGTCTCTGCCTCTTCTCTTGCTTTGTTTCCTCTTGCTTTGGGCCAGTTTAACAAGCTGATAGCTGTTTGACAGTCCGTGATCTGAATGAACTAGTTAATTGCAGGAGGCACTTAGGGTTTAACATAGCCCTTTGCCACTACAGCTGGATATGGCAGTCTTTTGACAAAGCCAGTTGAAGTTCCTTTTAGACTGAATGTCCTGTTCCATGCCCAAATTGTTAGGCCTTTTCTCAAGCAAGAGATTTATCAGGATGATCTCTAGCTTCTTTGTGACACAAGGCTGGTAAGGAATCCACCTTCTTCTCTTGACCTTCTTTCCTTTCAACATGTAGGAGGCTGGAGGAGAGAGAACTCACCTTATCTTTTCCACCCAGATGTCCACCCCTAAACATACATATCTTAATGCTGCCTGTTTATTTATTTATTTAGGTACGGAGGATTGAATTCAGGACCTTGTGCTTTCGAGGCAGTCGGCGGCACCACTGAACTAAATCCCCAAGAATGCTGCTTGTTTTGATTTATTGTTTTATTTTCTTTTGGTTGGTGCTGGGGATTAAACCCAGGGCTTATTGTATAGGTGACAGAATCCAGGCACTGAAGCTTTAAATGTTTTCTGTGGTGTGGATTTTACTGATGATTATTCATAGTGCCAGTCAGTATGTTCCTCTGTTGTTCATATTACCTGAATATTGGCAACTGAATTTTGAGACTCAGGCAGAACCAGGTTTGATCCCTGAAGTAAGACCAGATGTAATATTTTCTTTTTATCAGGAAATACCTAATGTCTAGTTACTTTTCTGTTTGTCATATAAGTCAATATGGATGGTCAGTGCCTAGATCTGCTAATTCATTATGGTTGCTTAAAATGTTGATGCTCAGATATAAATTTTTAATTTATTAATTGAAATATTTTATAAGGAGATATTAATTTTTAATTTATTAATTGAAATATTTTATAAGGAGGTATTATTCTTCATCAGCCACTTTTGGTTACAAATACTGCTTGGCTACTCATTGGTGTGATTCCTTTAGGAAAAATAATGCCTGAGTTTAATCCATTTAAGTTTGATAAATTTATTGAAGATGAGTCTTTTAACATAATTAATGATCTCTAAAAAAGTTTGGTAAATGATTGAACTATCTTAATTCCTTTTCTTTTTCTTTTTTTTTTTTTTTTTTTTT